AATCTTCCATGTCTGAATGTGCTTCCCCCTATTCCCACCCCCACCTCCATCCCTTTATCTCCGTAGGAACTGGAGAGGAGTTTGCCTGACACTTTTCTGTTATTTTCTTCAGCCGGGTTCAATCCTTCCTTATCTGACCATTGACTTGCTCTTCCTCCTGTCCTCAAGGCCATTTCCGATGTCCTTTGTTGATTTGACAAAAATAAAATTTACTTACTTACGCCAGCTTGAAGGGCTGCAAAAAAACCCAGCCTCTATAATAGGGTTGGCTGTGCTTTGGAAATGGTTTTCAAGAGATGCTTCCAGCCATTGAAAATACTGTATCCGTTATGCTGTTAATTAAAGCAGCAGTGTCTTTTTTGTTCTGGCATTCATTGCTTTATGGTGTGAAGTCTTGAAAGTGATTTTTTAAAAAAATGTTTTATTTGTTTTATTATTTATTTTATTTTATTTATTTATTTATTTCTGGCTTGTCACAGTCCCCGGGATCATGTGTCGAGGGAATGGCTGACACTCGACAATAACATTCAATTTTCATCAAACTGTATGTGGTCTGGGTACAGTTATTTTTAAACAATCATAATACACATATTTGTTGTGGTATTCATCACCATAATATTGATAATATCATAATATGATAATATAGTAACAATAATACTTAACATCATCATCTTTAACAACTCTCCACTTTAGCATTTCCTCTTTTTGTATCTCCTCCTTTCTAACTTCTGTTTCTGTTGTCTAGCCATTGATAAAATATGTCCCATATCAAAAAATATTCAGTTTCTTTATCTTTAATAGTAAGTGTTAGTCTATCCATTTCTGCGCATTCTAATATTTTCTTAATTACATTCCCCTCAGACGGAATCTTCTCATTTTTCCATTGTTGCACAAATATTATTTTAGTTGCAGTTAATATATGCAAGACCAGATATGTAGTCTTTTTATCATATTTTTCTGGTAGAATGCCCAACAAAAATATCTCTGGTTTCAGGTCTATATGTTGCTTTGTCATTTTTCCCAGCCAAGTATGTGTTTTCGTTCAATATTTTTTAGCTTTAAAAGTGACTTGCCTGCTTTAATGAAGAGGAGAGTGATATACTTATGCAACGTCCAAAGCATGACTTCGAATAATATTTGAAAGGTGCACAGCATTAATCCAGAATAAAGCCGACTTTTAAGCTTTTCACTCCTTACCATTTTCGGGCACTGCCTGGGTTCCATTTACATTCCTCCCGATATTTATTGCCTTGGATCCTTTCCCTACTGTTTTCCTTCAGCCTGATGATATCTTGTAAATATTTGGCTTCTGCTTGGTGGCTGCAGCACAAGTCAGTGGTGTTTGCGGAAGAAATATCGTATTTAAAGAGCGTGTTTCAGTCTCTGTGGTTGGCATTTACCCAGAGGGTTCCTCAGCTTGAATGTTACTGACCATCAAGAAAACTTCCAAAGAGGAAGGAGAAATCTGGTTAAAATGTGGGTGTTCCTGCTATTTTTCTGGATCAAAACTCAGCATTTTTATTTCTTTTTAATGCAGGGTAATCGGGCTCCCTGGTGTGTGTGTGTGTGTGTGTGTAAAACATAGCCTTAGGCTTAGCCCCTCCTAAACATGGTATATAGTAGAAGAAACTCTGCCTGAAATCTATGAAGGATCACGAGTCATCTGCCATTATGCTTTTAGCGAGAGTGTCATCATTTGCTTTTCTTCTTTCAATTTGTCATTCTAGTCCTTGGAGGCAGCCCAAAATTTCATGAAAAGGCATTTGATAGGTGAAGAGTGAGAAAATGGATGGCAGCAGTGGTGGTATTCAGCCGGTTCTGTCCGGTTCGGGCGAATTGGTAGTACCGACTGGTAGGCCCCGCCCACCTGCCCAGAAGTAATGCCATCCTATTTAGCCCTGTTTTCGAGGCCGTGCGCATGTGCAGAAGGCACACAACGTGAGCAAAGACCATGCGCGGAAGGCCGAGCATCAGGGGTAGGTTCTACTTACCTTTACTACCGGTTCGCAACGGGATTGTGCACGCGCAGTTGCTTCGCTCATGTGCGCGCCTTCTGCACATGCTCAGATCGCTGATGACAACATCCGGGATGGTGGGCTCCCGCCGGTTTTACTACCGGTTCTTGTGAACCGGTCCGAACCGGGGGCAATTCACCACTGCCGAGCATGCGTGGATGGTTCGAACTGGTAGGAAAGGTAATTGAATCCCACCTCTGGATGGCAGGTTCCAGGAATGTGGTGAGAAAAGTACAGTACAGTAATCTGGAGAGATGCCTCAAAGGTGTTTTATCGAAAGGCAACTGGGCTGTTTTTTTTTCCTTGAGGAAGAAGATGTTTCACTTCTCATCCAGGAAGCTTCATCAGTTCTAGGGGGGTGGGGGATGGTGCGGATGATGATGATGGAAGGATTAGTTCTGACAGGATGGAGAGGGGGGTTAGAAGGATCACAGTACTTTGCAGTCATCTGGCTGTTAGCACTCTCCCTGAGAGCTTTTGAAGCCACTTGGGGGGTTTATCTCGGGGTGCCAATGCAGGTGTCAGACATGTGGAGAGATACATTTTGCAGTGTGTGTTACAGTTACCTTGGAAGGAGGAAATGAAGGAAATTACTCATCCACCGATCTTTTGTCTTTGTTTTTTGGGAAGTAGCTAAGTCAACATTCCGATAGCGATCCCAGCAGGGTTAGGAAAGTTTTACGGTGGGAATCGCCTTAAATGAATCATCCGCAGTAAATCTGATTCTTTTGTGTGGCCTTTGATTTATTTATGTTTCTGTGCCCCTTCAGTCATGACGATTCCAAGTGTCTGTCTGTCTGTCTGTCTGTCTTTCTTTCTTTCTTTCTTTCTTTCTTTCTTTCTTTCTTTCTTTCTTTCTTTCTTTCTTTCTCTCTCTCTCTCTCTCTCTCTCTCTCCTTCCTTCCTTCCTTCCTTCCTTCCTTCCTTCCTTCCTTCCTTCCTTTCTTTCTTTCTTTCTTTCTTTCTTTCTTTCTTTCTTTCTTTTGTCTGGAGTTGGTTTACAAGTTGCCATTATCTAGGAGAGGAGTGGGTCCTATTTTAAAAGAAGCAAAGTGGTTTGTGCTGCTGTACAATTATGTCTGGAGGGGGTGGGAAGCACCCCCTGTGAGTCAACAGTATAATTTCAGCGGTGGGGAAATATCAAAAGAAGATTTGGGAAGATGCTGGCAAGGATGTTCCCCAAAGAGTGCAAGCAAATGGAGTTGGATAGACTTTGCTTCTTTTGTCTTAAAGAGTGGCTGCTTTTCTGACGTGCGTTTGTCTGAATTAAACACAAAGCAATTCACGTAAAACCCAGACAAGCAACATGCAGTGCTGCCTTTGAATTAAGTATTATTAATATTGTTAATACAGGTAGTCCTTGACTTACGACCAGAATTGAGCCCCAAAATTTCTGCTGCTAAGCGAGACAGTTGTTAAGTGAGTTTTGTTGCATTTTACGACCTTTCTTGCCCCAGTTGATAAGTGAACCATTGCAGCTGCTTAGTAACACGGTTGTTAAGTGAATCTGGCTTCACCATTGACTTTGTTCATCAGAAGTTCTCATGAGGGGATTACGTGCCCTGGGACATTGCAATTGTCATAAATGTGAGTCAGTTGCCAAGCGTCTGAATTTTGATCATGTGATGGTCATAAGTTGAAAATGGTCAAGTCAGTTTTTTCAGTGCTCTTTTAAGTTTGAGCAGTCATTAAACGAACTCTTACAAATTGAAGGCTATCTGCAGTAATTATTAACTATTCTATTAAATATTGCTTATGAATACATTTGCTTGGAGGAGGGGCTTTAGGATTTTATTTGAGAAGTCCCAAGGGGATTCATTTCCAGTGGCTTCTCTCTCCTTTCCTCCAACGTTGGGAAATGCTGATACCCCTCCGTCTCTTTTGAAAGAAATTAACGTTAAAAGTAAGAAGTGGATGATGGTTCAAAGGAACTATTTAGGAATTATCTGCTTTTGCTGCAGTAACCTGGTGTCTTGAAAGTTCTTTGAGATACTTACTGGCAGCTAGACCCTTAGAGAGAGTCGTGTTTCTCTTTTTAAATTAAATATTCTTATTTGTTTATCAAAATATAAAATACAGAAATACAGAAAAGGAAAATAAAGATAATGGGAAAATAGGGGAGGAAAAGAGGAAAGAAAAAAAGTGTAAAGGGGAAAAAGAACAAAAAAAAGCATTGACCTTCTGATTCCTTTTGGAGCAATAGAATAAGGTAATAACACAAAACCTCAACTTTTATATAATAATATACACTTGCCATTTCTGTAACAGCAAACCTATATAATCAGCAACACCCAAAATGAAAGTTTCATTTTTTTCCCACCCACCTCAAGCACAAAGTCCAAAAGCGGTTTCCAAACAGAAACAAACATAAATGGTGTTCTTTCCTTTAATCAAAGCTTGTCAATTTAAGCCATCACTGCTAACTCCCATCCATTTTTTACAGGCATCCTTCCATTTTTGTGCGTAGAGCAGAGGTCTCCAACCTTGGCAACTTTAAGACTTGTGGACTTCAGCTCCTAGAATTCTGGGAGCTGAAGTCCACAAGTCTAAAAGTTGCCAAGGTTGGAGACCCCTGGCGTAGAGTATTCTTGCTGCTCTACAGTCGTATTTTCCTCGACCCTGGCAGGTTGACAGATGGACTTCAAATCCCAGGCTGGCTGGGGAATTCTGGGCGTTGAAGTCCTCCTGTCTTTCAACTTGCCAAGCTTGAGAGATGTTGCACTGGTAGGCTTTCTTAAAGCTCCTTCCTGACAAATGAAGACTGAGATTCCTGCCTTCGAAGTCCCCCTCACTTGGCGGCTGAGTGCCTGTGGCTTCTATTGCCAGGAATCTCCCGGCTTTTCATTGGCAGAAAAGTCCCGGAGCTGAGCTGTCTCTCACACGCTCTAGCCCACAGACGGTCGAGAGGAGGCTGTTCTGCCCCGGGAGAGGATCCGCTAGTCCTGTTTTAATTGGCATTGGCTAGGATTTTGATCTCTTGAAAACAAAGTGCTACACAGTCTCTGCTTCATCGGTGGCTGGCATTCCTCCCCCAGTCCCCGAGGATGGGCTTAACTGCTTCACGACCAGAGAAGATCAGCCATGGCCAACTTTGAAAGAATCTCTTGAGAATCTGGAGAAAGAATAGAAAGAAATCTCTTGAAAGCCCTTTTGAAAAGATTGGGTGGCTTTACTTTTGAGTCAGCTGGCTTGTTTTCCTTTTTTTCAAAATTCCTCATTCCAAAGAGAGGAAATTGGATGATTTCCCTGGCAGCTAAAAATCAGGTACATTATGTGGACTTTTTTTTTCTTCTTTTCTTTTCTGCTGTTGTCTTCAGTTATAAAACTTCCTTAATTCTGGAATCTTAAAAAAGACATGATTCTGGTGCGATTGGAAAATAGATGTTTCTTGATGCAAGTTTCTCTGTCTGGCTTCAAAAGTTGTTTTGGGGCTGGGGGATGTTTTTAGCAGGTTATAAACATCAAGACGTCCAGCACTATAAAATCTTGTTTCCCCTGGTAGAATTTTGAAAAATTTCTTCGACGGTCTCAGTGGTTGCTTGTTCTCTTAATGCTGAGAATCTAATCTCTCCTGCATTTTATGGCCATAGTAAAACTACAAGAAAGTTGCATTTTCATGTATATGCTGCAGGAGCATGGAATAATTGCCACGATTCTTCACATTCTGGCAGATCACGAGATGTCACTGAAACATTGGTATTGTTTGAAAAGTTAAAGAAAGCATGTTTACATACAGAATTTGCTCCAGTTCTTAAAGAGATCGTTGTATCAATTGTGGCTGATGGGTCATGATGTATTTTTGCATAGAACAGAGTTTCTCAGTCAGAATGTAGTTTATTCTGATTATTGCAGTTTAGAATTTAGGGTAGTAGAAAAAACTGCCGAAGAAACTATTGATGTTATCCATGCTGACTGGATACAGTAGATTTGCATCCGGAATTTAATTATGTTGATTTGGAAATGAATCCTGATCCCACGCATTTCCAAATGGATTTGATTTGTGCGTTCTTTTTTTTTTAAAAAAATCTTCTCTTGCCAGATTAGGAAAATTCCCAGCTTCCTCTGGCAAGCATTTTGTGCCTTTTGTAGCAAAAGAAAAGAAAAGAAAAGAAAAGTAAAAAAAACCACAAAAAAAAAATGGGTTCCCTTTGTGGTGATAAGGGTGGAGAGAAAAATGCCTTCTGTGACATTTTGAGAAATATTTTAAGAAATGCTGCTTTGGCTGGAATCCCCAGAGAATTTTTTTTTACTTCCCTGGGAGTACTTCCCAGTGGATGAAGTAAGGAGCCTGTTCTGCGTGGCTTGGGAAGACTCCAGGGGTGAAATCTGACAGGTTCTGGAGAACCGGGTAGTGGAAATTTTGAGCAGTTCGGAGAACCAGCAAATACCACCTCCTGCTGGCCCCAGAGTGGAGTGGGAATGGGGATTTTGCAGTATCCTTCCCCCAGAAGTGGGGAGGGAATGGGAATTTTGCAGTATCCTTCCCCTGCCACAGCCACCAAGCCACGCCCACCATGCCACGCCCACAGAACCGGTAGTAAAAAAAAATTGGATTTCACCACTAGAAGACACCACAAGGAGTACGCCACAGGGTTTTATATTGAGCTGCATTTAGCAAAGAAGAATGGTGGGTTCCTCTGTTATAGCAAAGCCATCACTTTTTGTAGGCTGGAGCCTACTTTGTGAATGGAACAAAATGGTCATATTTCTACAAATGCCTGCATTGTTTAAAGTGGGTTACCTCCTTTCTTCGGGAGATAAAAGGAATATTTGGCAGAGGGTGAGGGGTGTATGTTGAATGACCTGACTACAACCTGCCATGGGTAGCTTTGATCTCCTCACCCTCACCCAGCATTCAGTTTCATTTCCCTGATAGGCAAGATGGGGCAGGCCCAACTAACGTACCATTGGATTTCATGATGCTGAGAACGGAGAACACAGAATAATGGAATTAGAAATGACATTAGAAGTCATCTAGCCCAGTGGTCCCCAACCTTTCTGGCTTGGCAACCTGGGGGGGGGAGGGGAAGGAGAGGGGATGGTTTTGTGTGAGTGGCAGGTGCGAGCAAGTGCGAGTGCCCGCTGCTCACACAAGTGGAGCTGTGCACGCTTGCTTGCCCATCGCTTCTTTGGCCAGGCCGGTAGTGGGCTACGGCCCAGGGTTTGGGGACCCCTGATCTAGTCCAACTCCCTACTCAGCACAGGTTCTGCTAGAGCAGGGGTGTCAAACTCAATTTCATTGACGGCCGCATCAGGATTGTGTTTGACTTCGGGGAGCCAGGATGGGCATGGCCAGCTCGACGTCACTTGTGTCGGGGGGCTCCTGTGGTGGCCCAAGGGCTCTGCCAGCGAAAACAGGCTCCCGAGCTCCGTTTTCGACTGATGGCTTCCTGCAACCCTCTGCCAGTGAAAACGGAGCTTGGGAGGGCGCCCGTGGCCCTTGTGAGCGCCATTTCAGCTGTGATGGCCTCCTGCAACCCTCTGCCAGATAAAACTGAGCTGGGGAGGGTTGCCGGTGGCCCTCCTGCACTCCCTTTTCACTGGCAGAGGCACCATGGGCCGGTCCTTTGTTGTTTTCAGGGTGGCCCCACGGGTCAGATCTAAGCACCCCACGGGCCAGATCCAGCACCCTATGGGCCCATCCCATGGGCCTTGAGTTTGACATCCCTTTGCTAGAGCATTTCTGACAGGTAACCCATTCAATCTCTGAATGTAAAGAAGAGTTTGCCACTCTGTACTGCATGTCTGCCTATAATGGTATGCGCTAATGATCTTGGGACACCTGGGGGGAGGAAGAGATGGTACTTAGAGAATGATCAGATAAGATAAGGCATAGCCTGCAACTGGGTAATGGGAAGAGATTCAGAAAAGAAACCTACTTAATTTGTCAGGATGTAGAAGAGACAGGATGCAAAGATTTGTCCTATCAGACTTCAAGTTTCTGTTAAAGTAACCATAGGATAAAGTAGAATTAGCTCATCTAGTTGGGTTTCCTGTCTGGTTCCCCGGGGAAGGCTGCTCCTGCAAGCTTATATAATTAGGAAATTCTTTCTGACATCTAGCATGAATCTACTTATTATGAGTTTTAAGGTGTTATTCTGGTCCTGGTTTTCTAGGACAATAGAGAATATGTCCACCCACGCTTCTACTTGGCAGGCTTTCATATCTCTAAAGACTGCTATCACGTCTTCCTTCAGTTATCGTTTCAGAAAGATAAACTTACTCAGTTCCTTCAACTGTTTCCTAGGGCTTCACTTCCAAACCCCTCACCATCTCGATAATCCTCACCTGCATCACTCCAAATATCATGGTCTGTGATGGATTGTGCACCTGCAGGAGCAGGGAGGGAATCTTTTGGCAACACAGTTTCTCAGAGAGAGGCCCAGATTATGCAAATTAGGGTCTCCCGCATGAGCAGGGGGTTGGACTGGAGGACCTGCAAGGTCCCTCCCAATTCTATTCTTCTATTCTTCTAATTGCTCAGTTCCAAGCTGCGGGCAACACAGAGGAAAGAGGTTCAGGGCAACCACAACCTAGAACATCTCAGGATATATCTAGAGAGTTAGAATGTTATAGCTTTAGTTTGGCAAGATTCTGCCCATTGGATCTAAGCAAATGAAAGATTGAACTCAATTGGATCTTGCTCTCTTGCCTCTGGGCTTAGGCCTGACGCTATCCTTTTGGAATGGTGATGCCCAGAACTGGACATACTGTATTCCAAACGGGGCCTACTAGGACAGAGTAGAGTGGACTTCTTCATCATCTAGATCAGTGTTTCTCAACCTTAGCAATGTTAAGGTGAGTGGACTTCAACTCACAGAATTCACCAGCTAGTATGATAGCTGGGGAATTCAGGGATTTGACATCCACCATCTTAACATGGGCAAAGGTGAGAAACATTGATCTAGACCATGGGTGTCAAATTTGATTTCATTGCGGGCCGCATCAGGGTTGTGTTTGACCTTGGGGAGGGGGCAGGGTGGAGGGGCCAGGATGGGCATGGCCAGCTCAACGTCACTTCTGTTGGGGGCGCCTATGGTGACCCAAGCGCTCTGCCAGTAAAAACAGGCTCCTGAGCTCCGTTTTCGGCTGCCACGGCCTCTGTATTTCTGTTAACACACCTGCATCATACTGATGGCTTATGTGTTTGACAAGGACATCCTGATTCTACCCACAAGTATTACTGCTAAGCCATGTCTCCCTATGCTTGGATCTTCATTCTTTATATCCTTCCCAGATATAAAATGTTACATTTCATTCCATTTAATCCAGGGGTGAAATCCAGCAGGTTCTGACAGGTTCTGGAGAACCGGTAGCGGGAATTTTGAGCAGTTCGGAGAACCGTCAAATACCACCTCTGCCTGGCCCCAGAGTGGGGAGGGAATGGAGATTTTGCAGTATCCTTCCCCTGCCATGCCTACCAAGCCACACCACACCCACCAAGCCACGCCCACAGAACTGGTAGTAAAAAAAATTGGATTTCACCACTGATTTAATCACATCCTGTTCCTTTCGCCCTACGATCATCCTTAGATCTTCTGGAAACTGCACTGTTGTCTCTAAAATATAAATTACCACCCCAACTCTCAAACCTCTCCATTTCTGAATATGATGTACTGTATATAATATTTGAGTAATAAGGGATAAAAGGCTTGGTGAAGAAGAAGATGACAAAATGATGGGCGGGGACTTGTGTAAGGATCATCTCCAGCTATCTCTATCCAAGAGCTAAAAATGTGTCTTCCCAGTGAACGATAATGTCTGCTTCATGGGCGTAATGAAGTTGGCATTAGGCCAGGGATGCTCAAGTTTTATTACAATAGAAGCTCTTGTTTAAGCAGCCAGTGTGGGTAAACCATGGGGAAGTTGGGGGAAGGTACATTGGTGAAATGCTGAGATTGATTTGCGTGCACCGGTTCAAATGTGAAAAATATGTGAAAGGGATTGGATTCTTCTTGACTGTAGCAGCAATGCAGCAGCCATGGTGTGTTATCCAATCCTCGTGTCATTGACTAAATCTGGCTTTATCATCGGGGGCTGGTTTGACATCTGGAAAGCCTTGAACAAATGGGTAACAACTGCACATTTGTAATCAGGCTCAGGGCTTTCTCAGCTCACAGATACATCTGGGGAAGACAAACTTGGCAGACTTGGTGGTGGGAATTTCAGGTCTCTCGTTGTGTTTGGGGATTGTGAGAATTCAAGTCTAGCCCAACTGGAGTCGCCCAGTGCAGAGAGGGTTGGTTTACACATTGCCTTGAGAT